CTAATTGGAATTAGAAAGAGCCCCAGTCATACTTATTTAGCAAAACTCATAGAAAGGTCATCGTCGTTAGCATGGCTTTTCGAATCTCTTATTGATTTTTCTCCAAACTAAAAGACACCTACCGTCTTTTCAAAAAGATACAAGGCCAATACCAAGATATATTTTTCAAATTGAACAAAAGAAAAAGATTTTCTTCTAATTGACACCTCATAGATTCACAAAACAATGCCCTTGCCTCCACTACAAAAACTTTTACCTAGAGCGACGCTGCGCTACCATTCCATCTTCTCTGGTAGATATATACCAAGCTTATGACTTCTATTCTAAATTGTAGAGCCTAAAAAATAACTTAACTGAACGTATACGCCATATACTACGATCTTTCTTGCATCTCTATCACTCTATGGGACTCATCGAGCAAAATATATTATTTTATACGATAGATAAGTTGTTTTATACAAATTTTATGCAATATGTCTTTTGTATATTTTGTATCTGCTTTATACATAGTAAAAATAAATTTTATACAACTAATTATATATTATACAATTTATCTACAACTTATACATTTTTTCTGCCCAGTTAAATACAACTACAATATCATACAACTTAAATTCAATTTTTATGTAAATTTTGTACAATATGTCTTTTGTATATTTTGTATCTGATTTATACATAGTAGAAACAAATTTCATACAACTAATTATATATTATACAACTTATCTACAACTTTCATACATTATTTCTACCCAGTTATATACAACTACAATAACATACAACTTAAATATAAATTTTATACAATATGTCTTTTGTATATTTTGTATCTGATTTATACATAGTAAAAATAAATTTCATACAACTAATTATATATTATACAACTTATCTACAATTTTCATACATTATTTCTACTCAGTTATATACAACTACAATATCATACAACTTAAATATAATTTTTATACAATGTTGTTCAACTTTCATACAATAGTTAAATGAATAAAATAAAAATAAATAAGCAACAGAATACAATTTTTCTACAATTTTACTATAATTTCTGTAGTATAATGTATGTCATGTCTTTTTCTTCTTCTTCTTCGAGTTTCAATCTGAAATTCAGCCAAAACCAAGTCTAATCTTCACCAAAACCCCTCAAAATTGAGATATAAACTCCAAACCATATTCCCAATTATTTGCAACAACACCTAATCCAAACAAATAATGATTTTTGAAAACCCAAATTCGAATTCAAAGCTTCAAAGCTTTTTAATGGCTGTCAATGGTGGAATTGCTGCTCTCTTTTTCTTTGCTTTACATTATTGAAATTTGAGATTGAGAGATAGAGAGAGACGTAGAGACAATTCTCAATTCTTTGCAACAACATCCAATTCAAACAAACAATGTCTTTTGAAAACCCAAATTCGAATTCAAAGCTTCAAAGCTTTTTAATGGTTGTCAATGGTGGAATTGCTGCTCGCTTGTGCAAGATACGTGGGGGAGGGGGGTGAGATGTGGAGAGAGAAACGTGGGGGAGTGGAAGATATGTTAGAGTAATTTTAGGACACTAACTATTATCATCAATTTCCTTAAAATGTACCTAAATAGTAATTAGGTATATAAAATGTAATTATAGTAAAACTTAAGTAGAGAGGGTAATATAGTTTCATATAGTGTATATGGGTCCACAGTGACCGGAAAAATTATTGGGTCGAAACAGGTTAAATAGTGTTACCCTGAGGGTTTAGAATGCATCTCAAACTCACACATACAAAATCAAATATGAAGATTGGTAATCTTGTAAATTTGGAAGAATTTAAGCTAATAATTAAAAAGAATACATTAGCTTTCACTTCTTCTTTTTCAACAAAACAAAATAAAAGAGGGCAAGTTAGCTCAATGTTGGACGGGTAGGCTTATGACCTGTTATTTGACCCAAGTAAACTTTGAGCGGGTTGGGCATGACGTGATTCACTTATTTATTTGACAAGAGTGAAATACTATGCTTGTTAAAAGGCAAAACAGTCTGTAAAAAATCATAAACAAACTTCAGGTATCATATGTCTCCTCCTACAATCTACTTCACTGAAGCAAAATCCAACAGATACATTCAAGATATAAAAAATGGGATTAGCTCCTGTACATTGACTCATATCCTAACAAAAGTTTAAGGAGCTGATAAAGTTCCAGAATAAAGAAAGGCTATTTCTGTTACATAGTTTTCCACCAAGTAAAAAAGATTTAACAAGCACTCCTATAGCAATACTTTACTTTGAATTGACCTTCCTTCCCCAGCTCATAGATACTTCTGACAATCAAAACCTCTTTTAAATTATATTGTGCCGGTAAAATATTTTTGGTTTGGGGTTGACATCAAGAAATGTCACAACAGCATGGGAAGAAGTTTTGGGATACTTCAAAACCACCTCTGATGCCTTTTTTGATATGCAAGCAAAGTCGGCCCAAACAACTATCAATTTTTCCAATACTCGTGCATTCTTCAGGAAAAACCTTAGTAGCTCCATCTCATTTTCTTCATATTTAAAACCAGTCAACTGAATCAACTTTAGATGAGATTCCAAGCACACGATGCTTTCACTAGGGTCATGCAGCTTCCAGTTCTCATCCCAGCCAAAATTCTCATCCGAAAACAAATTAAGAATCTCCAAATTAGGAGAATGCTTGAGCAATAATATCATAGCTTGCATGCAAGCTTCATTTGTTCCTACTGTCAATTTTAAGGACTTGAGCTTATAAAACATGACCGGAGAGCTACTTATTTCATGAGCCATCTGATATACACCCCGAACAGAAACCATGCATAATTTCAAAGCTGACGTAGAAGGAACATTCTTGATCATGTTATATGTAAGCATGCCAATTTCCTTTAAGGTGTCATCCACATCGAAAAAGTAGACGTGAACAACTTCTATAGAGAAGAGATTCTCTATAATTATATCATTTGCCATTAGAGCACCATATTTCAAGACTTTGAGATTTGGGCAAGAAATTTTGACATTACAATTGCTGTAACTTAGTCCCCTATAGTTTACTAAATATACATAAACCAGGGATGTCGAAGCAATATCAAGCACAGTCATAGTTCCAAAAGTACAATCTCCTAGTATTAGTTTTTCAAGAAGAGGACATGTTGAGAACAAGCAACTCATCAAATGCTCGTTCGATAACTCAACCTCCAAAAGATGAAGCAATTTGAGCTGACAAAATCCCAAATGATTAGGCAACTTAAGCATACCTAACCCCCCCCCCCCCC